AACATTTTGATGCCAGGATCTTAAAGCACTATCCAAATACAAATTAAACCTTGTAATCTGGTACTTTGGTATGTATTGTTATCCTTGGTTCTATCAGTGAGGAGACAGACACAGGCAAGTTCAGCGACTTTCTCAGATATTCAAGTCATGTTTGTAGTGTAGCCATGTCCGCAATTCCCATCCCCAGCTCCCAGCTCCAGCCTTCCAACCCCAAACCTGCCCGGCTTCTGCGAGCAGATTCCTCAGCTCTTCACAGCAAGAAAATACCACAAGTCTCCTCTCGGGACAATCTCTGCCCTCCTTTGCTGAGCAAAACACAAAGAACCTCTTCCCCTCCCTCCCAGCATACACACACGTGTAAATGGGTATGGCAAAATCCTGAAGATCCGAGCCCTGTACTCTTAGTTTAGGTAACATCCTCTGGCATAACTCTCTAGCATCAGAATTTCCTCAATTATCCTAAACTGTGTTAATAAAGATGGTTTCAATGGTTGCACAAAACTTTGGGGCAAGAAACATCCAATATATGGACATTTCCAACTGTACAGCGCTGGTTTTATAATCTATATGTTATATGCTATTTTATAGTCTATTTATAGAATCATTTAGGTTGGAAAACACCTTTAAGATCATTGAGTCTAACTGTAATTAATTTTTACTTTGTAGCCAATATAACTTTCCCACAAGGAGGTGTCATACCAGTAATGGAAGTGCATCAACCTTTGCCTACCGTATTTTCTGTCTTTTCAGTGAGGTAAACCCTGCAAAAAATGGCCTGTACAGAATAAGGTTATGCTTTCTAAGAAGCCAATCAACAACTACAATACCAGCCCCCATGGCTTCTTGGCAGATCTTCCCAACAGTGGGGTTAACCCAGCCAGTTTTTCAGAAGGAGAAAGAGGATAATGTGTGACTTCCAAGAGCATCTCACCTCCTCCCAGTTTGCTGTTGGTAGTGCTTCCTGATTTGTTTGCAAGAGCAGAGCCAAAACCACTAATAAAACTTGCATTCAAAAAATTGAATAAAGAAGTGGAAAGTCTCCATAAAAATAAAGAATCACTTTATGGTCCCTGTGGGCTTTCCTTCTTTTTCTCTTCCTATTCTCCACTTTTTTTTGTTGTTGCAATTTTCCTCATTTAATGTGTTTTCTTCAGACTTGGTTTTCATCCCTCTGCTTCATTAAAATGCCCTCCATGAGATGCAGTTCTTTTCCAACTGACCTTTAATTCTTCCAATTTCTCACTAGTTCTTTTCTCCATTCTCTTTTGCTTCTGTCCTCCAGCACGTCTCTACCAACACAGTGCCCAAATGTCTCCCAATCATTTCCGAATCCAGCCTTATACCACCACCCCTATGGAACAGAAATTCTGTGGCCACCATTTTGCACAGTGAGGTGCGTGACTCGGAGGAGTCGAGCCAGAGATTTGTGTGCTCTGGTGTTAAGATACCTGGTGGTGGGGTGGGAACGAGAGACCCGGATGCACAGGATTCCCCGTGAACCCACGGGAAGAGCCAAAACTGTTCCCAAGGAGGCAGCTTGCCCAGGGGCTCCTGGTGTTGAAGGTGGATGGGGCAACTTGCTTAGGAAGCCCAGGTGCCACAGTGAGGGCTAAAATGAGACAAGATGGATCCAGGCGTACACAACTACCCCAGATCACACAGAGTTTCTGCTTTTAAATGAGGACATGATCTCCAGTTTCTCCTCTCCCTACTACTTCTCCTCCCCATTCCCACGGTTCTTCCAATCTGATGTCATTTCTCCATCTTCCTCTGTCACAGTCATTCCCCTTTCATACGGACACCACGTGATTTCTTTCCGCACCACTAAGGCCCTCTTCCTTCCTCCTTCTGAATTGGTATTTCCTCGTCTTTCCCTTTCTCTTGGTCTCCCAATAGCTCACCTGCACGCTTGCATCGCAGCTCAGCACTGGCTCTCCCCAAGTCAGGGAGCTGGAGTCCTGCATCAAAAACCTGTTAGGAGCCTAGAAACAAAAAGTAGAAATAAATGGTTGGCTTTCACCTTGACTACCAGGCTAACATGACTGCTATTTCAGATTTTTCAGTTAATGCATTTATTAAAAACCTGACTGGGAGAGGTGCAGTAAAGACAGGGGTGAGGGGAGCTCAGTTGAGCAGTGTCTAGAGAAAACACAGGCATTTTTCAAAGGAATTGATGCAAATCGAATCGGCAGCAGCATGGTGGCAGGTAGCATTGGTGAGGACTGCAATGGAATATGCACTGGGAGGAAAACAACTCTTCAACTACATCTCTCAGGAAAAGGACAAGCACGTCATTGTAGACAGATCCGCGAAGAGCTCTGTTCAGTAAGCAGTGTGATAGAAAACAAGCACGCAAATTCTTTGGTTACACAAAACACAGTATGTAAAGGAATTGTATATAGCATCTTTGTGGAAATTCACAGCTGCGTGTCTCTAACCCTGGCTCAAGCAGGGAAGTGCAGAACTGGAGGGGATTCAGAGCTGCTCACGGCAATGAGCATGATCCTCCTAACAATATTAAATAGTATGGGAGGGCAAACCGATGCGATTTCGTTGTGAGGAGAACAAAAGCTGACATTTAGGCCCAAATCGGGCAATTACAGAGATGCTAAGCTAACTGCAGTGCAGCTATGGCTTTGGGTGACCAACTCTCAAACTAACTTCATAGAAAGATTTCTTGCTGACTGCGAGTTTGCTAAAGCTTGAGCTCCTCATTGTATTTGTTGCAACTCAGTAGTAAGATTACTCAAGGGATCCCTTACTAGATGGTCTTGGCTGCCCCAGAGGGTGAACACTGCATGTGTTTTACCTCTTTATCTGCATTAGAGACATTACACACACATTTCACTCTGGGGGGTTCAGCTAATTGATGTGACCCCTACCAAAGGGGATGCAGAGAAACAACATAAACAGAGCTCCCATCTCCTGTGTCGTGTATCTGAGAGTCATTAGCTACTAGTTGGTGCCACGCACAAGTAGTTATTCCCTCAGCAGGAGCACAAGATCTCTCAGACTGTATTCAGTAGGACCTATTTAATTTATTTGAATTTCTAATTAGTTTAATTGAATTTCCAAATCTGTCAGCACACTGCTACCAAACTACTGAACTTCAATATTGACTAGCCATAGTGACTGGTAAATCATGTGGGGTAATGTGAGTGCCGTTTGCCCAGACATACATTTTCTGGAAGTAATTTTTTTTGTATGTGTAATACCTTAGCTCTCATCTCTTAATAATGTGGTCCCATTTAATTTCCAGGATTGGAAGTTAAATCAGTCTGGACATCAGGTTTTATATAATATATGTGTATGGTGACAGGTATTTTTGTGGTAAGAGGCTGTTACTGAGAGAGCCTACTAAGCTATCAGTAGTCTCAACAGCAAACAGTTACATTTGGGAACAAGCTGTAGTAATGCTAAAAATATTCTCCAGTTTGAATCCTTTATATTGTAAAAAAATTACACATATCTATTGCTTTTGGTCCATATTTTATGATCCCAATATAATTTCCTTAAATTTTCATTTGATTGCTAAATTTGACATTCCCTGTCATTGAACATGATGTGTGGTGCCTCCTAATTTAGCCAGTTCTTGGTTAGAGTTTCTATACTGAAGGAGTTAAAAACATCCAGCTCATAAAACAGTATCACTTAGGCCTCTCACAGTGTTGTATACCATTACACCCAACCCAATCATGACTCCATGCTGTAAATATTTCCTTTACTTAGGGGCTGCGTTTTCGCAGGACTTTGCTGTCAGAAAAAAAAAAAAAATATTTTTTGTGATGGAACAGCGGGGCATCCTACTGCCTTGTTGCCACTGTGGGGAAGTCTTGTATTGCTAAACCTATTGGCTTCTTTTTCTCGGGAAGGACCCCTGATTTCAAAAGGAGAAATCCATGATCTAAACATGTCTCGTTCCTGGTTTCAGTTACCACTGTGTTCTGGGATTTTACATCCAATTTGCCATCCACGTGTCTCAAGCCTCTTAGATGTCCAAGCTCCTATTATAATTCCTCTGATTTACACAAATTTTCAACCAGCTGGAATAAGGAAAACCTCTCCAATTTAGGTTATTACCGTTTTTAACCCCCACACTGTACCTTCCATGACCTCAGAAACTGCAGCATCCCCCAGTGTTAACAGTGTTAGTGATCCACTGCAACAACTTTCTGTCATCTTCAAAGCCGTGGAAGGGGTTACTGCTGTCAATATGAGGAGGCGTCAGCACCGACAGAAACAGAGTTGCCCATTTTTGATGCTGGAATTTCTTTCAAGTTTCCCCTGCCCTTGCTCTGCTCCAGTTCCTTTCTCGCTTCTGTCTTCAGCCATAGGAGTTGACCAACAAGGAAAGTTATTAAATATACACAGATGGTGATAAAAAGCAACTAAAGCAGAGAAAAATTAATATTCAATGATTTTTCGTTCTTCCTTCTTCTTCTGTGCTACCTGTGGAGGACAAAATGGAGAAAATTTTGTTCGTGATCTATAAATTTCGGGTTGTGACAAAGGTACCCATATTCCCTTTGTACTTAGTTGATTTGAAATGACAAAGAACTCATCCCCTTTAACTGCAAACACTGCTTCCCGTTTATCCTGCATTTTGTACTCCTGAAGCACCACCTTTACCTCTTTCTTCTCTCTTTGACTGCTTCCCCTGTTTTTTCTTGCATTTCTAATCACTTCTGGTGCATCTGTTATCCAGGTTAACGTATCTGCCTCTGCAGGGGTCTCTGGTACATCTAAGGACCTAATTAATTGCACAGGATTTCACAGAGGCCAGGAGCATAGCAGACCCCAGGCAGGCTGAGGCATTTCTGATGATAAGGAGATACCCAGGACCCTCGTAGTGAAGGCCAACATTTTTTTTTTTTTTTTTAAATGCTTTTTCTTCCACCTCATGCTTCTCGAGGCAGTACCGTTCCTAACAGAGACGCAATGGGAAAGATTTTGTGTTAAACCTCTACCAACAGGGACAGACGGAACAGAAACCTGGTGATTGCTGTGGTGGTGTCAGCACCGGCGGTAGAAGGGCCGGTGGTGGCAGCCGCGGTGATTCAAGATCTGCAATTAGTAGGGGAAGTCGCTGTGGCAGCATCAACCTTCTCTTCTTCCTAATGCATTGACAGGGGGGGGAAGATGGAGGCGAGGCGTAGGAGCAGGAATCCAGTGCGGCACACTGTTGGAAACAACGGAGTGAAGTAGAGAGACTGACAGATCTGTCTAACGGCGGCAGGTCTGGTGTGCCTCACGGAACTACTCATGGGTTTAAAAGTAAGCACTTAAGTGCCTATTGGCTGCACGAGGGCTTTAGTGCTGTTCAAACTAGTGAAGCAGATGATACTTCAAAGGCATTAAAAGTAGGTTAAGGAAAAGTATTTCACAGACTGAGTAGATATCTGAATAAAACTGACAGTCTTTAAGTGCAGATGAGTAAATAGAGGGGGTTCTCAGTGGGATCGTCTCTATAGGTTGGAGAATAGCTCTGCTTTATTCCCTATTCGGCACTTGGTCTCAGCGGTGTGATTGCCAAAAAAGGACAAGTTATACCAACTCTGAAGGGAGTTATCATTCCACTTACCAACAGACTGAAACAATCGATTCTTTTTCACGCAGACCACCTAAAAGCCAACAAGAAAAACAAAAATACCGTCAGGAAAGAATGAGAAAATACTCTTTTCTTCTATATTCAAGTATGAGCCAATTAGCCAAGCACATTACAAGCAGGGCTGAATTGCAGATACAGGCAAACCCAGGCACTGGTACCGACCTGATGTGACCCAGCGCAGCTGACCTGCGCAAGGGCTCGGTAACTTCACCAGCTGAAAGAAGCTGTTCAACCCTTACCCCCTAATCACCTAGCACCAACTCCTTCGCATCTAATGAGTCCTCTGTAAAGGGCTCTGAAGCGTATTTGAAGGCATTTAAAAATATATTTTGCTTCTGTGATTGGTAATACTTGAGATAACTAGAACCGAAAAAGTGTATTTCCTCACCCCCTTTTTTCTAGCCTTTTGCTCAGATGAGATAAGGAAATGAGGTTACACAATTTCCCTTTAGAGTTTATAATCAGCCACACTATTTTAATAATCTACATTTAGTTCCACTTTCTGTTTCTTAAATGCTAGTACAATGCAGCAGTATCTTGGTTGCAGACTCCACAGGAAGACATTTCAAAAGCCAACAACCATGATCACCACAATTTTTTAAATTATTAACATTCCTTTTAAATGTCACAAAATATTTCTATCAACATGAAGCTTTGTAAATCTTTTTAAGAGTAATTTAATTTCTGACCCTGTCTAATGTTGGGCATTTAAAACCAGCCTTTTAAAAACACTCTGGATTAGCTCAAGCAACTTTTTCACCCCATAAGAGATCAGCAGATCCACATGATCTACTCTAGGAATCCGTCAGCGCTAAGTACTGTGTGTGGTGGTATATTTTTGCAAAGCCTGGCGTTCCTCGTGGCGGTAGATGTAAAGCTTTGGCATCACCGATCTGAAAACAACAGGGTTCTGTGCAAACATAAGTGTTGTCCAAAATGAGTACACCTAAGTGTAACAGGCAGTATTCCTTACAGTTAGCCCAATACTACATCCTCCTTTTTGCCACCAGCTGTGTCATTAACTCATCCAGTGTTATAAGGAATTAAATATTTATCCTATGAAGGATAGGAATTAATAATAGTAACAATAATAACTTAAGTACATAAATATAAACACATTATTAATCATTAACAGAAATCAGCCCGTTAATAATGCTTCAAAGCTTTCTAGGAGGGGAACCGTAAGAAATGGAGAGTTCCTCTATGTTTTAAATTTGGCCACTCGTCCTCTATCTTTATCAAACAAAAAAGCAATTGTTTAGGAAAAAAAATCTGTTGCTATTTTGTATGGCTGTCCCTCTTTTGACACCATCTGTGGTCAGATTAAATGCTGAGATCTGAATCAACATCTCTGTGCTTAATCTCTTGTTGATACTTCTGCAGATTGAGAGGTAAAAAAATGATTACAGGGGGCTGGCCAGTTGTACAAGTTTGAGTTATGCCAGTGCCATCTTAATGAATTTCTTAAGTCAAATGTAAATATGACCCCGGAATGTGGAAGCATACATTTTTGTTCTCTGAGGTCTAATAAAAACACAAAAGCTTTCTGTGTGGTTCAACATGGCATTAGAAGTGCTTGGCAACATACCCCTGGACCCTCTGCAGCTTCTGAAGCTGGAATTAAAGTATGCTGGGTTTCCTGCAGGACATTAAGTGTTTTCCTTCTAATTGTTTACAATTTGCTCTCTGCTGTGCCTGTGCTTGGAGCCGATACCATAAAAAGCCACTGACAAATCCAAAGCAGTCGCTTTGCAGCCGAGAAAGCAAAAGAAACGTGCGCAGGGGGCTTTTCTACTGACAGGCAATAACTCCGTGGTAAAAGATCCAGCAAAGTTACAAACCAGACACTATTGCCCTTGCATCGAGCATAAAATAGGTCACAGCAGAGAGACGCTGTGGCTTTAAGTATTGCCCGGCCTGAGCTGGATTATCATTAGGTTACGTAACCGCTGATGAGCTGCTTTTCATTAAGGCTTCCCCGAGCGGTGCTGGGAGCAGGCGCTGCCTCCAACAACCATCCTGGGGAAGGATTTCCTCCCAGGCGTGCCACCGCGCTCCTCCGAGCCCCGCAGTCTGCAGCCAGGCCAGGGTGCTTGTGTGAACCAGCACGGGCTGAGTAGGTGTCTGAATGCGAAGCAACTCATTAGCCTTAACAGGGTTGGGCATTCATTTCGGCGAAAGCGTGTTTGCAGAGTTGTAAAAGTGAGAGGTTCAGAAAAGGTGTTAAATCAGTGTGGCGAAAGCATCCCACTCTCGGCTCAGAGCTTTTTTTTTTTTTTTTTTTTTTTTAAGTGAAATGCATCCTCCGCTGTGTAAAAAACCAAAATCTTCGTATCTTTTGGTGGTCTTGAACGCTAGCAGAAAGGCTGTCACACAGGAAATGACGGCACAATGCTGCAGCAACGGCATAGCACACCTGCACCTGAGGAGGTGGAAAAAAATTAAAACAAAGCTGATTTCAACAGTATTCTGATGCACTCTCAGAAGCACCACGCAGTGTCCAGCTAGTACCTTCAGGTGTCACAGAGCTTGTGTCTGTTGTTCTGTCTCATCTCAGGATGAGCTGGAGGACAAGAGATGTTCATGCTCAGGTCTCAATTCTTCCACATGCTGGCTTTTAGCTGTCGTAGGAGCTGATAGAGATGTTTCACCCTCTGGAGAGACCTTCTCCCTCCGAATCCTCTGGCTGCCCACAGGTGGACAGGCTCCATGCAGGTAGACACATGCTGCAATCCTGCCAACCTGTTAGTCCAGATGACATCATCAAATGCCATTCTTGTACCCTTCTCCGGCCATTTGCTCCTCCCAGTGCTCCCACACCTGGCATTCCTATTCAACCCCCAGATTCAGATCAACGTTAACATTTCTATTATATTTTTAGGGGATAAGAAAGTCAATAATAATGGAGGAGCTCAGCACTCCTCAAGGGCTCAGCATGAAACAGAGTCAAGCCGATATTCAGAAGTTATGTGGAGCTCTAAAGAACCATACACATACTAAGTAGAGGCAATGCTATCATCAAATAAATTATTTATTACTTATTACAATGCTGAATTTGGCCAAGAGGCTTTAGAGAACTCCATACTATTAATTTTGCCTTCTTAGATTAACAACTGTACTGTGGCTACTTGTGGCTTACAAGAAACTCTTAAAATAGGCTGAAAACAGCCTTTAGCCCAAGTAACTTGTACGGAAAAAGGGCTACAGGTGGCAGCGTCACACAGATGCTCCTGGCAGGGAACAGGACAACCAGGAGATCTCTATACTGTTTCAGTTGGCGATTCCATTGCTCACTTGTTGCTTGACCTCTACTTAAACGTCTTAAACACTGCTTTGTAGATGTAAAATGAAGATAATTATATCAACTTGCTTTACAAAGTGTTCAGGCTAGAAAGATCTAACAACAGTAAATTATTTGTCATTTGAAGTCAGTTGGAAATTAAAGCTGCTCCCAGATAAATTCTCACCCACCATGGTATCACTTACCTGGTGGGAGAGGCCTTTGTTTTGGATTTAATTCTAGGAAGTTTTGAAATAATTTCATTTTGCTGATGGATTAAATTTTTATTTCATGTGTATTTCAATGAGACATTTAATCTTTTTCATAATATGTTTTGAAGTCTCATTCATTTAAATTGTCAAAGCCTGACAGCTCTGTAATGCACTTTAAAACGGCATTGTTTATACCTGCATTCCATTTAAAAATTAGCTTGCAGATTAAAGTAATAAAAATGGTTTTATACTTCTCAGTGCTAATATCACTGAAAACTTACCATGTCCCTACTGCCTGAGATTAGCTCATATATGACTTTCTCGTGAGGAATTCATGGAGGGGAAATATTCTAACATCAAGCTTTGTATTAGTCATGAAGGCTGAGCATTTTCTGCCTGAATAAAACCAAAGTGGGCATAGCCTGCAGAGGCAGTGGAGAGCTGGCAGCTCAGGAAGACTCGGGGACTTTTACACAGCTTCCTTCCCTCACTGCTGCCATGAAGTGAACAGGACCAGAAGGAATCTATTAGCACTTCCACCTAGATGTGTTGCAACGAAGGGTCATGCAGCAGCATGCAGCGGCTGTTAATGCTGCCTCAGCCCCTACCAAGAATGCAATTAAAGGAGAATCAGAAGCATTCCTTCGTTACCTCGTGGACAATGTGAGTTTTGCAGCAGAGGATTTGTTGTGGGTGCATGATCTCAAGTTGCTGCTCTCCTCGGTCTTGTTTCTCTACCACTTCCCTGCTCATTTTGATGCTTTCGCTCACACGCACAGGCCTGATATTCTTCCAAAAAAAAAAGTTCAATGTTTGTCTAGTTGCAGACGGACAAAACAGACAACATTTTTTTATACTAATGCACCTACAGTTATCCGGGTTGGAATGAATCTAAAAAATCCTAGGAAAAGACTTATTGATCCTCAAATGACAGAAAATGACTAGTAAGTCTGCAATCAATATCCCCTGGCCCTTTACCTGCTGAAGGGTTAACTCAGGTTTATCCTGCCCATTCCCTTCACAGGTGCTCCAGAGATAAGGAGGTGGTTACGAAACACAGCTTGCATGGGCTTTTTCTGGGAAGCAGGGAATCTCAGAGGTAACTGTGTAGACCTCAAGAAAGGTGCCAGTTTCTGAGGAAGACAAAAATCCAGATCAGCTGATGATGTGGGTCACCACACCGGGTAGATTTGTGATGTACGTTTGACTGGGCCTTTTAAGGCTGTTTTGTTTTGTTGTAGCACAGGCACTCCCAAGCCCCTGAGGAATAAAGAGCCCCCATGGAGGAAAACGAGCCACCTGAAGCTCTGGTTTATTTTAACTATTCCACGCATTGAGTTGCTTTGCCTCATGACACATGAGGTGTTTGGGGATTTCACAGTTCCACAGAGAGGATGAATAATGTAACCAGATACAGCCAGAATGTGACAAAATAGTTGACAGACCAATTGTGCTGTTCCATGTGCGGCAGCTTTGCATGGAAATAGCCAAAAATGACAGCGAGGAGACCAAACGGCAGGTCAGGGTCTGTGTGGGACTGCCTATCACCCCACGCTGCTCGCTGAACTTTGGTGTTCCCAGCTGATCCGAGGCAATTTCAGCTCATTCGTATGCCTAGATGGAGAACAATGCTAAGGCAGGATGATGGCCTTTTACGGCGACTGGAAAACAAAACCTGGCAGGTAACTTCCAGCACAAAGTGCCTCCGCAGCTGGGCAAGAGGGATGAGGAGACACCACACACACACA